GTGAGGTCACAAACACAGCAGAACCAGCGTGTTCAATTGGGCAAGACATAAGGAGCTCATAGCTGTAGTACTGAACACCACCTCCATGGCACGCAGCTGATGGAGCATAGGAATTTATGGCAGGAAAAACAGAAGGAGACTGCATATTAAATATTGAGTCTTGACACTAGATGACCAGGTCAGCTGGTGTTTTGGGGGTCCAGGTATGCTCAGTGATTCTGCATGTGTCTTGTTCAACTTAATCCAAGATATTTTGTTTGTCCCTCCTTGTTCACAGCTAAAGCTGAGCACAATTTTCCATTTTCCCCAAAAATGCATACTCAATGCAACCAAAACACATCAGGAATTCATGTTAAATTCTCCCTAGTTGTTCCAATTGAAAAAAAGCAATTGAAAAATCTAAACAAAACATTTTGACATTTCCTAAATAAAACATTCTGATTTTTTTAAAATTTGAAACAACTTTTCATTTCAATTCAATTTAAAAAACAACATATCTAAAAGAGTGTCATAAGGAGGAGGGAGAAAACTTGTTCATCTTGGCCTCTGGAGATAGAGCAAGAAGCAATGGGCTTAAACTGCAGCAAGAGAGGTTTAGGTTGGACATTAGGAAAAAGTTCTTAACTGTCAGGGTAGTCAAACACTAGAATAAATTGCCCAGGGAGGTTGTGGAATCTCCATCTCTGGAGATATTTAAGAGTAGGTTAGATAAATGTCTATCAGGGATGATCTAGACAGTATTTGGTCCTGCCATGAGGGTAGGGGACTGGACTCGATGACCTCTCGAGGTCCCTTCCAGTCCTAGAATCTATGATTGATTCTATGAAATAGTCTTGCAGTACCTTAGAGTAAAAAAAATGTAGATGGTATCATGAGCTTTCATGGACAAAGCCTATTTCTTCCGATTAAGTGGGTTTTGCCCACAAAAGCTCATGATACCATCCACATTTTTCTGTTAGTTTCTAAGGTGCTGCGGGACTATTTGTTATTTTTTAAGTTTATTCGGTTACAGACTAACACGACTACCCCTCTGAAACTTTTCATTTCAAATGCTGTTTCAATTTGATTTTATAAAAGGTTAAAATCTCAAAGGTGCAGAAGAACGTTTTCGTCTGAGTAGAACAAAACCTTTTGGTCAAGCTGAAACAAGCTAAGCGAAATATCAGTGATTCACACCGCTCTGCTTATATGCTCTATGCGCCGTCTTCCATTGCTGGCATGGTCATTTGCAGGGACTTTGTGACTGTAGCACCTGATATCCAGAAACACCTTCCCATATCATTGTAGACTTTTTTTATTAAACACCTTTTGCTCTGTTTCTCAACTTCTCTCCTTCTATCAGTGGAATTCTGACTGAATGTCCTGCTGTCCTAATGGGCCAAATTCAGTAGCTAGCTCCCCAGGGAAGCCCCAACTAAGAAAAGTTCACTGGGAAGGTGGCAGGCAGCAATGCACCCATTGGAACCTCCACTTTTCCTCTACTGCTCTTTGTCCTCTATAATTTGCCCTACCATGGTATATGGCTTTATCTCCATAGGCTGCACAGAAACAAACGTAACCATGAAGCTGTTACTTTTACCTGCCTGGCCCACAGTCAGTGTACTGGACCTAATGCCTTTGCAGTGTTGTTTCTGTAATTTAGGTCATTTGGGGGAGTTTGTATGAAAGATGTTATGTGAAATACGATTCTGCTTTATTTTATTGTCTACATTTATTTCAGGGATAATATTTAGGGCCAAACCAGATCCTGGGTGCCTTACTCAGGCAAAACTCCCAGTGACTTTAGTAATAGTTCTGGCTGAAGGAGTATTAGCAGGGGCTCCTGGTTGTGGCAGAGGGTTGGGGCTCAGGAGGGAGTGTGGGCTCTGGGAGGGAGTTTGGGTACTGGAGTGGGAGGTGCAGCACTGGTGAAGGAGTTGGAGTGGGGGAAGGGGTGAATATTCCAGGCTGCACTTACCACAGGTGGCTCCTGGAAGCGACCAGCACGTTTCCTAGGCTCAGAGGTCTGACTGAGATATTTGCAGCTTTGGACTTGTGTGGCTTTGCCTTTAAAACAATCACTACCTTGCAGCTGTAATTAGTTTTGCTTTCCATATTTGTATGCAAAACTCTACTGAGCACACACAAACCAAGCTACGTATGTGGACTTTATGGCAGGAGTGTGGACTTTATGGCAATGAATTTAGGGCAATTCAGTTGTCTGGTTATAAAAGAATCAGTCTACGGCAGTGATCTACAGCAGTGTTTCTTAAACTTTTTAAGACCGAGGAACACCAAACAATTTTTTTATGAGGAACACCAAGGACTTTTTTTTGAGGGATAAAAAGGGTTGGGGGAAGTTATTGAGCAACAAAAAATTGCCTGCCCCTTGAAGGGCAGCCATTTTAAACTCTGTTGTTCTCCGTGGCACACCTCTGACTGCCTCGCAGCACACCAGTGTGCTGCAGAACACAGTTTAAGAAACACTAATCTACAGATTGGCAAGATAGGGTTGCCAGCTGTCCGGTTTTTAACTGGACAGTCCGGTAATTGTGTTTTCTGTCCAGTGAAAAAGCAAACAAAATACCGGACATGCAAAATGTCTGTTATTTTCTGTTTTTCCTCGGATGGAAGGCCGGCGGGGACATTTTTCCCCTGGCGCATCTGACAGGAGAGAGGGTGGAGTGTCCCTGGGGCCACTTTAAAAACTCCCCCCAGCCTCCCATGCTGTACAGCTAGATACGTCCGGTTCCTCTCCTGCACATGGGAGAGGCTACATAGGAGATCTGGCCAAAGAGAGAAACTCCATGTGCTGGAGCCCTGCGGCATGTCAGCCAGGCAGCAGTGAAACAGGTTGCCGCTCCTTCCCAGGCTCAAGAGGCTGCCAGCAAAACTCCTTTTGCCATGAGCAGAATGAGAGGGGAGGGGAGGGAAGGGATCCATTCCCAGAGTGGGAGGGAAGAGAAGCCCCTGAGCCGCTCCCTTGCATGCGGCACCTTTTGGAGCTAAGGGGAAGCCACAGCAGGGTCAGCTTCTCCCCTTCCTGCCCCCTTCCCTTCCCTGAATAGGCTGGCTAGCCTCTGGCAGACTGGAGCCTTACCAGTTAAGGAGGCATGCAAGACTGAAGGGAAGGTGGGGTGGGAGGGGAATACCTTGCAGGAGTGGGAAGGAAGAGAATCACCTCCAGCCCCTTCCCTGCATGGGGTGCATTTAGGAGGAAGGGGTGGCCACATCTGGGCGAGCCCCAGAACTCCTTCCCTGCAGTAGGCTGGCCACAGAAAGAAGCAGTGTCTTGTAGCCCTAGCTAGCCCTACACTGGCTGCAGTGCCTCCTTAACTGTTAAGGAGGCATGTGGAACCTGAGGGAAAGGCTGAGGGAGAGGGGAGAGGAATCCCTTGCAAGAGGGGGAGGGAAGGGAAGCCCCCCTGCTATCCCTTCCCTGCATGGGGTTAGGGTTGCCAGGTGTGCAGTTTTCACCTGGACAGTCCGGCAATTGTGTCTTCTGTCCAGTTAAAAGGGGGAAAAAAATCCAGAAAATACTAGTATTTTCTGGTTTTCCTCAGATGGAAGGCTGGTGGGGACATTTTTCCCCTGCTGCATCTGGTGGGTCTTCCCTCCCAACCAATTTTTTTCCCTGCCATGTTCACTATTTTTTGTGAAACTATCTAGCAACCTAATGGCAAGATGATGACCCAACATGAACTGGGCTCTAGTGGATGAGTTTTGAAGTCTGATCTCCATCCACATGTTCCACTATATTATCAAAGACTGAGTATACTGCTATTTTTAAAATGAGGGAAGGTGGGAGAGAGGGGAAAGTAGCTGCAGTTCAGTAATAAAGATTCAAAGTATTGCCTCTGAATGGCACTCACTTTCCCTATGAAAGGGAATCATTTACAACCTGGTGAAGGTCTCATTTGAAACCTGGTTTTTGTCTGTGCTTGTCAGAAGCATATGTAGCAAAACAAAAATAACTTTGCAACTATCGTGTCCCATTTATTCACCATAAAATTAGTCTGAGGTGTGGTTTACATTGTACTCATGCTATTGAACAAGCCACTGGGGGACGGGGAATATTAAGCCTTTTTTTATTGTTAAGTGCCCATGAAACAGACAAGGGCTATTCAAGGCTTTGGACTCACCTATAACAATTTTCTGCTGTGAAATCTAGATGATCCATTGAATTGCATAAGAAATTGAACTCAAATGTTGTTTTTGCAGAAGCTTGTTTGCTAGGCCAAATGACTAATATGTATTTTATCCTTAGGGGACATCACTGAAGAAATGCTCTTAGTTTCTGAGCAGAGTACGATGTTCAGTTTCCATTACATGCTAGCATTCACCCAGCCTTGCAGAAGGAAGCCTCCTTCTTAGTCT